CATAGGCTGCCATGGTTTGTTTGTTTGTTGACTTTAAATACAGAAAAGCTGAAATAACATCAATGGGTCTAATAACCTGTGGCTTCTCTATAGGATGGAAGTAAAGACACAATTAAATCTCCATGAAGTTCCATCCACAAGCTGAGGCTTCCAATGGAGTGAAAAGGCTGTGAAGTATGTTTGCAAAATACCAGATTGCCTTTCATTTGTGGAAAGCCTGGGACCACTGCATGGAGTAAAGCCTAATTGCAGCATTTGAGCCATGTATAGCTTCCAAGCAGTTCAAATTCTGCTCCCATTCTAGGACTACATTACATGATCAAGTCTGTGCTGATACAGAGACAGCTAGGAAGTAAACAGGGGCTTACAGCCCTTGTGCATACTACAGATGAGTTTGCTGGGTCATCTTGGACACAACTGCACATCAACTACAGGCATCCCCTCTGAATTGTGAACTGCTCCATCCAAGCTAAGTGGTTTGTATCTTGTGGCTCTTGACTCAATGATGATGAAGAATACAGCCTATAGGGTCAGAATGTTTGTGCTGAGACTCTTTTCTTTGATCTTAATAGGAACCCGATTTTTTTTCCCTCGTTGAATCTGATACTGCAATTACGAAGACCTTTGTTCATCACAAAATACTTTCGTAATGGGAGAAAAAGGTACAATATAAAGTAAAAGGGAAATGCGAGTCTCATAAAATTTCCAAGATAACATTCAACAAGGCTTAGGAAAAGCTTCAAGGAAGGTAGGTGGGCCCCTTTATGGCACAGATGGAGAATTCAGTGATTGTCATCCACTTGTAAATCACGGGTGCACAACAGATCTCTCTATGGGACTGAATTGTTCATGAGATTGGTAGTTGGGTGTTTGAGCTTTTTTCCCTGTCTAGTTCAGTAGTTCAATTCTATCAGTTCTATCAAAAGTATGTAATGGGCAATAACTTTAGGGACATAGCAGAAATGAAATGGGATCTTTCATCTATTTTGATTTTGGGTTTGGTTTGGGGTTGTTTGGTTTTTTTTTTTAAACTCGTGGTAGAAATCTCCATCACAATGGTTATTCATGACAGTGCTCAGCATTGACCAAGTCTACCAAAAAAAAAAAGGAAAGAAAAAAAAAAGACATCTTTGTTGCATTGATCCTTCAGTATCTCTCCAATTCAAGGATTTCTTCACACAAAACTAGGTAGAGGTAGGACAGTATAGACAATTTAAGACAACTAGTGTCTAAGTTATTGTGTATGATAATATAATGCTATATGAAAGTGTTACAGTTTCTTAACAGTTGAATATGCACTGCTGAAGCAAAGAATGCAAATATGAAAGTTATCACTCTTATGCAGGAATACAAAATGTGTACCACTCACTACAGTTCAGATACACAGTTCTACTATTATTACCAATACCATCTTTCTATCCTATTCTGACTTTAAAACTATTCCACTGTGTTTAATTCCAAATATTTATTCTTTAAGAAGGCACTGGTATTTTTAAAGGAAGAAATATGTATTTTTTTAAAATATTAAATTTTATTTTAAAATACTGTACCTTTTACTTTTAATTGTTTTACAGTTCAAATTGTAAGGTGTGTTCTTTTTTGTTCAAGAATTTTAAAAGCAACCAATTTAAATATGCAAAATTATCTTGAGTTGTTCATACGTGAACTTAAAAGCCATGCAACACAGGAAAATTAAGTAATTATGCCTCCAAGTTATTTACTGCAATTAAGCTCATTTATCATATGCAAATTAGTGCAAACTGGTCTCATTAGTTACTAAATTACTCAATATGAGCTGAACAATGTAGCACTCCAGTTTGTAATGAAAAATCCCTGTAGAGGCAAGCAGTATCAATTAAGCTAATTTGCATATGCAAATATATTCACTAACTTTCTCTTTTCTCTATATTTAGTTCTACATTTCCTGATCATTCCTGATTATATGAAGAATATGGGGTCACTGACCCTTTTCCACACCTTCTCGATAACAATGAAGTTACAGAAAAAATCCAGGGGCCCTGAAAAAATGATAAACTTCTTGCCAATTTTTACAACCAGTTTCACCCAAATTTTTGAATAGCAGGAACCAGAAGTAATATTTTTTACTGGATTTATTTAATACACATATGTAAAATATATATACAGAAATATAAAACTGAAAATGTCTTTACTGAAGTCTATTCTCATTATAACACCACTTTTCAGAAGAAGAAGAATGTAGAAGATAAAAAAGCACACAATTTGGCAAATCAAAAATCTTGTCAAAAATTAATTAACGTATTGCCATTATCTATTTTTCTCCTCTATTACAAGCATTTCTACTGTTCATCATTCAGATGATGGTACTTGGAAGATATTTAAAAGACTTTGCCCTGACGTGAAGATTCTGATATAATAGCGTTTGGGCATTCATGTTTTGCAGTGCCTTTTTTTCCACAAGCACGCAGTGGATAGTGTCTTTGGCTTCAAACCTACTGTGGGAATCTCTTCACAGCAATTGGCTGTGGAAATTTTTTGACATGACTAACTGACACTACTCGCTTGTAGAATCAAGATGTAAAATATCACAAGATGTGCCTCCATTTCTGTTTTTACAACATCACTATAAATAAACTATATTCACTTTTTTTAAACATACTGTATTATGCTTCTCATGTGTCTGTCAATAAATTTTGAAGTATCAAAATATTAGAAGGATTAGAGAGGCTCCTTAATTTCTGAGCTTACACTTAACCCAGTCCTCAAAATATTAATAGCAAAAGGGATTAAACAAACTATTAATTCAACTTCCTCAGATAGCAGACTCTGAAATCAAACACAGGTATTTCCAAGGTATAATCAAGGTTGTTTACTTCACTTGCAAACAATACTTATCACACTACTGCTTTGAAAATCATTTCTAGGAACAGCAGACTAAATGAGAACTTGTTAGAACTGTATTCCACCACAGAATCTGTCTGATTGTTGTTTTAAAAATCATTTTGTCTTCTGGAGGTTATTTTTCTACCTATAAGACCACAAGGCAGTACTTTGAAGTTCATTCAGATCTGTTAAAAGTGGTGCATTTGAATGCATGACCTAGACTTTCCTTCCACGTGTTGATTACTCTGCTAAAATAAGACAAAATTTTAACATATCATGATAAACCTGCCACCATTATTAATTCATTTTGTCCTTTATCTATCACCAAAAGTCTATTCTCTTTTAAATGTCAGAGTGGAACTTTCTATTATCAATTGAGAGATTAATGGGAGTAAGTTGGTAAAAGCACCACCCTCTCTGAAAAGGCCACACCTCAACAGATATTCAGTACAATGCTGATGGTAATTTTGACTGAAAATCCTCAGTTACGGGTACAAGTGCAAGATAGTTTTCTTCAGTAGTACTATGATAAAGTTATATCCAGAAAACACCTTAATTTATCACATATAAGTACAAAAACCAAAAAACAAAAGGGGCATCTAGCTTAAATAAGTAATAAGATCACTAATTGTTTTAATATGCAATAAGTGAAAAACTCAAATGTCAAGTAGTTTTCAAAGTGGCCATCCTAAGTTTTTTCATTTTCATTCATAAAGGGTCATACCTAATACTTAAGGAGTGTGTATAAATCAGTCTCAATGAGGTTTTATCTAGATATTTGTTATAATTCATACTGTAAAAAACATAGCTTTAGGATATATAGTACATGTTTAAATACTCAAAACAACACACTGACAAGTTACATAAACTGAAATATCACAAAACTGCTATTTCTTAATTTTTTCTACGCTTATGAGACAGCATAACAGCGTTTCTGTCTAATATGCAAACACTGTACTGTAGATACTGGTGCAGGTATCTTTAATACGGTAACTGTAACACAAGTATTTGCTCAGAGAATCAAAAACTTGACCTAGACCTCTGCCAAGGGTGTACAACTAAGTAAATCGCTTCATTCATGATTTTTGTTCCAAAGAGAAATTCATTCTACTAGTTAATTTCATGTTTTTGTCTTTTCCTAAAATTATCTTTGTTGCTATTCTGCATTTAGTTACTTTATAAAGATGTGAAAAATCTGACATTATCCATAGTGATTTTGAATGCCACAGCTGAGTTAGTAGAGAGAGATAGCTCTCAATCATTTCAAATTAAGTGGAATATTTCTCATGATAATATCCTAATTTACCTCTTTCATACCTCTCAAAAGATAATACACCAAGCAATATATTTGCATTGAGAAGCTGTGTACATTGCTAAATAAGAGCAGTTATTCAGTGCCGCACTTAGAAAAGACTAGGTGGTTTTTATTTCCATAGTGCTGGGTTTTTGCCTTGCTGACAAAACACATCACATTTTGTTCTTAAGTGCTTCTGCTCCACATTTGATTACTGCAACCTAAGAAAGGTTGTAGTAACCCTGACAAAACAAAGCATGCATAAGAATGTTTCCAGCAGGTCATTGTTTTTCGGTTTAATCTTCCTGGAATATAACGACTTGTACAGTGTGACTAAATTCTTTGACAAATATCAGATTAGTTTTTATCTCATAGCTAAGGAGATCTAAAAGGCATGCTGCTGTTCATTTTTTTCTCTTTGCAGATTGTTGCAAATTTGTGATATACAATTGTGACACCTGGGATATCGGGAAGGAAAGCAGTGCTCATAAACCAAAGTGGGGGGAAAAAAAACCCTAAATCTATACGTGGCACACAAGGCAAATCAAACCACCTACACAAAACACTGTTTTGTGCACATCTACTCACAAATACATACAGGCATTCTGCAAGCAAACACCTACTGCACATTCTAAACAACAAAATATTGTGATTCAGTTAAATAATACTTGCCCTCCCTTTCATTAACATTCTCCCAATCACGGGCTTTCTAAAAAGAAGGAAAAATGAGCTTAAAAAAAAAAATCTCATTAATATAAGTGCTGACAACAATACTATTCAAATTACTGGCAGAAATATGACTAGCTAGTTATTTTGATTTTTATTGGAAAAGCCATTTTTTTACCTGTAAAATATGACTTCCCAAATGTGATTCAAATACTTCAATGGCAAGGGCACTGGGACTTCTCCTGCGCTGGGCACCTATAACTGAATAAAAAACAGTTATGTTGCAAGGTCTGCACATTCATTTCTAATGCACTCCTGATCATACCATTTGACATTGACTATTTAAAGATGTTTTGCATTTTATACACCAGTGTTAATTTCAAATTTGCCTTGCATATAGTAAATAAAATCGGTACGTAATTTTCAGTGACTCAAATTTGAAGGATAAAAGAATAATTTTAAAAAAAAAACTACTTAAATGTCCAAGAATGCTGGAAATGAATCATTTATTCAAATATATCCCAGGTCCCTGTAGAAGGTTTTTTTGTAGATGGTGATGACAGCATGTGGAATTCAGTGAAAAATACTATTGAAAAAGAGGCTACACATAATGTAAATGTTTTGAAATGTGGGCATAAGAACTAAACATTACTCAGGAATTAGGAAGATGTGAGAGATTTATCTGAACATGTTATTTATCTTATTTGAAACTGAAATGAAGTAAACACAATAAAAAGTCAACATTTGTAAACACATCTGAGATATCAAAGTTATTGCCAAGCATAGGGAAGTACTGTAGTTTCCCAGATATCCGTGTCAGTTGCTGGAATAGGTACTTGAAACTTCAGCTTCTACATTTAAATGATATAGTTTAAAAGTACAAAGTGAATAATAGGCAGTTATGTTTCAAAGGCAGCAGTGACTACAAAAAAGGCTGAGAAATCATGTAACTAGTATTTCGTTAAACTCTCTATGCCAGGAGCACAAAGCCAGCAATCGAGCCTGAGTATAACCAAACGTAGGCATCTACTGCAAGCTGAGGTTTCTTCTTAGGTGTAGGCTGTCTTTGCCATATAACCAGAGAAACCTAGAGCATGGAGAAGAGGGACAGGGCTGCAGGAACCTTCCCTTCCTTTTCTGTCTTAGTGCCAAAGCCAGGCATACCCACAGCAGAGAGGAGGTGAAGTTCATCCTGCACCCTTTTAAAGTGTGTACAAAAACATTTACATCCAAAGACCCTGATGGTCGAACGCCTCTGGAACCATCACAGCACTAGTGCACCTTTATGTATTGCTCTCTTTACAATGCACGATAAGAAAAACAAAATACCAAGGATCCACTAAAACAAGCAGGATGGATGACTGTCATTACTGAACAGGCTAATTTAACACCAATGAAAACAAACAAGAATTACAAATGGTGACTGCTGTAGAGCAAGTATTTTCTAAGTCCTCCTCTTTTCTCTGAAGGTATTCAAGGACATAGATGCTAACAACTTAAGAGAAAAGTCTTCTTCAAGACTTCTGCTTTAAACTGCAACTAAAGTTGGTAATAGACCAACTGCTGTACTGGTTTTTTTAACTTCAGTTAGTATAGTGACCGACCAGACATGTCAGCATAATATTATTCTTTCAGAAGTTTTAGGTACTTAGTCAGTCTTATATTTTTCTATATCAGCCTTCTGATTCTAAAACATTTTGCTTCTCTTTGCATTGTCTCACCTTTTCTATAGCTGTAGTGATGCCTACTATAAACAGCAATGCTTATTTAATGAAAAAAAAACCATTACATTTTCTAGCAACTTAGACTCCTTTAACTTTCCTTTTTGCAGACAAACTTAAAGATGATCCTTCTTTTGTCCTTACTTTGCCTCCAGATACGTTATCAAACGTTTGCTTAAACTGGAGTTGTACCTATATTTCTGAGAGAAACTTTAGCTTTAGTTGTGGGATGAAATGAAATATATAGCACTGTAAATATTATCAGTATCCCCATTATGATTGCTATCAGTTAGCACTGTGCTTTGTATGGTCATTTAATTTATCATCTACCAGAAACAAAAAGGAAATTCACAGTTTTGGCCTGCTACGTATTGCTTCACAGTAGTCTCCATAAGAGCATTGCAAAAAGCAAAAAACCCCGAAAAAACACAAAACCTCCCTGAAATCCTTTAGGCCCTTTCATTCTTCCATCTAGACTCTCTTGTATTTTCCACACATTGTCTGAACACATCACCATTTGGAATTTGCCTTCCAATTAATATTCTCTTTCCTGCCCCATATCCTTCCTTTACAATCCCCTCGCATTTTAAAGTGTATCCATTACATATTGAGTATCGCTTCCAGTTCTATGATGTTAATTGTTAATTGCAGGGTTTTTAGCATATCATAACTTGAATAAAGCGCATGAAGACAGCGCAACACTTTTTAAAACAGTATCTTTAACTTTATATTTACAGGTAAGTCATCAGTTCTTCCTACTTGGGACACTCTCAGTTCTATAGCTCAAATGAAAACACTTCAAGGTCAGTGACTTAACTCGAAAACATGAGAGGGCCAGATCTTAGCTTTAAAATTTGTCAATTGAATCCTCTATCGATGCCTGCATCCTAGTGGCTGGTATACACGTAAACAAGTATCTTGTAGTACTTTCATGCCATTCAGTTCATTGACATTTTTATAGCAGTAGAACTCTTTGATTTGTGCGTCTTGCACTTACTCAGGTGATGTGGGGCTGTAATGACAGTTCCTAATTTTACAACCAGAATAAATAGGTTACACAGAAAACCATTATGCTTCTGGTAGCCATACTGCAACTCTTTTTTGGTAACTGAATAGTTGTTAAATATGCACTTTCTGTATTATTTCATTCATTTCCCTAAGTATCATTCTTCACATTTTGAGGAATGAGACAAGAATATTGAGGTAAGTCTAGAATAAGGGAAACAAACTTATTTTATTTGATCTTCTGACTTCGTTGCCTCATTATTTAACTTACTTGAGCTTTCAAGATTTCTTGATACCTATCTGCATCAGAAGAAATATACCATTTTGGGTATACAAATGCATATCACATTGATACCTTTCAAAACCATGGCAATCTCACAGTCCAGTCACAGCACAAAGCCTCTTATTTGTACTGAATGGATCGTTGGCATGACAATAGATGAAAGAAAGACATAGACTGAAACAGTTGGATTAAAAAGCAGGCCATGATGTTATTTTATTCTAAAATTTCAAAACGTAAACTATAAATACTGAAATGGCTTCCATCACACAAGTCACAACCAGTCATCTCTAAATCTCTCACCCCATGGATGGAACCATCAGCAGCCACAGCTCAGCTGCTCACAGGAATCTTGGAAAGCAAGGGATTTAGGATTTAACTCACAACATCTGTAAATCAAAGTAGCTCAACAACCTAAAGATCTGGATGCACATAATTTTAAAAATGTGGATTCTGTTTTAAATGCAGACTCTTTACAGAGACAAAGTACTGCATGCATGAAATAAATTTCTTCTTTTGAGTAACAGGAAGTAGGGGAAATTAGGATGTGGAGAAGGCTGAAGCATGTGTACCAAACTGCAACAGCAGTCACAAAGGAAACAAGTTCCAAACCCAGGTTAAATTCTTCTTCCAAGCTTCTCCTGTTTTAGTGGTATGAACAAAGGTCTCTAAATAGGCTTTTTCACCTGTGGCCATATTTTGTACTGTCTACATTTAATGGACGAAGTTTAAGGTTTGAATGCCCAAATGTTGTGGTTAATCAAAAAGTTGACTGAACCAATTTTTGTCTTAAATATTGACTGTTAATAGTGACAAGAAGATAAAAAGATTGTTTTCACACATGCACTTTGTAGTGCTGGAGCAGAGGAATGTGTCTACTGAAATCTTTTACTTTCCATGGCATTGGACCATGACTTTTACTATCCAGACTGACATGTCTATTCCTGGCATAGGATTATTCCATAACAAGCTATTAACAAGGAAAAAATTCTAACTGCTCACTAATTCCTCTTTAACTTTCTTCCCTCAATGACTAATCTGGCTATGCATGAGGTGGAGTAAGAACCACATCCCTTTCAGTGTGTCTTGGGGGCAGTCTAAGCATACTTAATGCAATCTCAAGAGCATTCACAATTGTGCTAGGAAGAGTGTGAAACTATGGAAAAGAAAAATGTAGACTGCCTAACAAAGATTTCCATGCATCCTGAAGAGAGAGGATTTCCTCTTAAACTCAATTCTAAGCTATTGGAGCACAGAATGACCAAAAGACTGGTGTTCACTGTGACTTTCTACTAGTGAAGACAGAATTCTAATTAAACAGAAGCAGTATTCCTTGATCAGTAGGAGTGAAAGCGCATATCACCAGCACAATAATCAGTTCCCCCTAAAATATTTTTGTGAGACTTTGCATGCCACCTTTCAACATAAATTGGTTTTGTGGAAAGTTTGGTAAAATTCAGATCCAGAGTTTTTAAATTCTGTTGCTTTGACATTAATTTAAAAACTATATTTAAAAACTATTCTGAACTTTTTAATTATTTCCCCTGAACTATTGTTTACTTATAAAGGCTTTTTCTCAATTAGCCTCAAAATCCTTATTCTTGTATTTCATTTTGTTGACTTTTCTGAGCAGCACCTTTCTGTATGCTTGGAAGCAGAGGTGGACATAAGGCCATCCTGCTGCACTCTTTTATGTAATCTGCTGTCTGAAGAATTATAAAAAAACAGAGCCCATGTTTCACTTTTTTGATCTTGAAGAGCTCTAATTATGACTGCCAATGAAGTCAGACTTTAATTAGCAAAGCCTGAGCAGATCTACATAAATATGAAAGTTTATGAACACCCCACCAAAAAGAACATTATCCATTTTATTCACAAAATACATCACCATATCAGGCTAATTGCACAGAAGCTCCACATAGTGTTGGCTAATATTTCTCCCCGTATGTATCAACAAAATATATGATCATTTCAGATGAGAGAGCATAAGAAGTAGAGTTGTCTGAATTGTCTCTCATGACTGTATGTGCAAAGCAGTTCACAGCACGAATGTGGCTATAATCTTTTAAGCATTCTTTTCCAGAGTTTAACCTCTTTTAGTTTCAAAGTAGAAAAAAGGTCTATAGAAATTACAATACAATTTCTAATACATTTGCTTTGGTGTAAAGTAGATTCTAAATGAAAATTTATCTTTCGTTATTTATAGGGACAACCCCAAAGGCTCATGAAAGAACAATGCATGTGAATGTGATAAT